CATGTACCTCTCATGTACATATATACGCGTTTTTTTTAAAAACTTTTTAAAACTCTCTCGATTTTAGGTGGCACAAAATTGTTCGTTTTTTAGACTAAATATATATCAATTTTACACACACTAATCCTTTTATAAATCGCACAAGTCGGCGTTACTATATTTGTCGCACGATGGCCTGCCCAGTCTCTCACACGTGCGACGTTTGCATAGTCTCATTTAATATATTCCAATGGAATATATAATTATGGAATTCTAATGGCATAATTTTCGTACTCGTACTCGTAGTCTCTGCTAAAGCTCCCTATTCTATAGCAAGTTTCAAAGTTCATTTCTTTACATGCACGTCACGTGAAAGGCCATAACTCTTTACCGTAAAATCTTGTTTGTCAGGTTTTAACTAGTTTGTCGTCACAATCCTACGTCACATCTCGCGACAAATGACCTTTATATCTCAGTCGAATGCTTTATCTTCATTTCATAAAGTTCTGTTCGCACGATCCAATTTTGTTGGATCTAATTCACTTCTGATGCCGGGATGTTTCATAGTCTGTTGTCTTGTTATGTAATGTATATGAGCAGCAAATCCACTGAAGCCAATGCACTCAGCGACTATATTTCATACGTCAGAAGTGAATTGGATCCAACAAAATTGGTTCGACAGACCCTAAAAAATTGAAAGTTCAAAAGTAAAAGTTTCTCTCTGAGTTTTGCCCACGTTTTTATTGTGTATTTTCACCCGTTGTTTCCTTTGAAACTTGCCTTGTGAAACATTGACGGTCTCGAGTTCACAAACAAAGTCATGCTTCCCTCGGGATCAGTCCATAATTCCTCTTAATTATTATACATATATAACGTACTATTATATCTTTATTGCTTAGTTAGTCGATGCCATAAAGAAGAGAAGAGTCTGCTATAAGCTCTTAAGTACATTCTATGTCTCAATGCATAGATAAAGGAATTGCCAATCGAGTTGATGCCAACAACTTCCTGGGCCCCAGAAAGCAAAAGAAGAGCTGATTTTAAATCGGCGAAACATGAAAAACATGTAGACCATACTGTCATTACAACAAAGTAGGGAGCAAAGCAAACTGTCAGAACTCCGAATATAATAGTGAAGGTTTTTATTGCCTTCATTTGCTTCAAAATCCGACGTAACCAGGCCACTTTGGATTTTGTCCGTATTAATTCTGGCCCGGATATTTCAGCCTCAGGATGTACCACATTTCTTGGAGCCTTCCATTTTCTTTGCCGTTGAACGATCTTCAACATTTTGTAGTTCAGAATCCCTATGACAACAACGGGAATTGACAGCATTAAGATTCGTAACAGAGGGAATGGATTCACTGCATTTGATCGAACACGATAATTCTGTCCTTTGCTGTAAATATACACAAGAGGAAGTTGCAAAACGGCCGTAAACCAAATGGAACAGAGGACCGCCTGAATTCTTCGCGATGTTACCATGATTGGATACCGCAGAGGCTTTGCTATAAACACGTATCTATCAACGGTGATGGACAGTAACATTGTCGTTGAAAGAAACAGGGAGAAATGAATAATGCTTTTACTTAAATTGTAAAAAATATCGTCATATTCCTCTGTACATAGAAAGTACCGAATAATCGTCTTTGGATAGATTGAGAGGCAGACCAAAAGATCAGCAATAGCAAGATTCGTTATAGCCAGCTGCTAAGCGTTCGCTCATTGTTTAAACATATGTTGTAAAAGATGACCGCTGTATTTCCAAGCACTCCAACAAAGAGAAAAAAAAACTGAGTATCATTAAGATTAAGTACTTAGATTGAAAATACTCCTGATGATGATGGTCTTCGTTGCCTGAAGGTGTTGGATTCATTTCAGGCTCCTGTTTTTAAAACCCTCTGCCAATTCCCTCTGCGAGTGTCAGCAGCGACAGTTCAAAATTTCTGAAAAAGTTGAGTCAACGTTTACTTTTATTACACAAATGACGCGATATTTACCTTTGGAGCGCGAGAGCTTAAAGTTTTCTGTCAATTTGTGCGACTTAAAATTATTGTGCATCGTTTATTAAAAAAATGAATTTTGGTTTTTAAGGTTACTAGGTTACCACAAAGCAAGATTTGGCAACACGGAACTTATTTCAGCAGCTAAAACTTCTATGATAAGAATTTGTACAATAACTATACAAAAAAACACGCAAGAGAGGTTCACCCTAGAGCCTGACAATTTATGAAAACTATCCGGAGGGTTGGAACTAGGAACAACCCAACGATTTTATGAGTGACATTTTAATTTAATTACGACGTCGTCAATCGTCAATCTCATTATATCTTCATTGGCATGCACGAGTGCCATTGCAAAATGGAGCGAGCGGAACTGTTGATAATTGTTTTCTTAGGAGTGCTGACATTCCTGTTTGAATGTCCGACCGGCAGTGTTGCTGCCAGAATCTGCCCATTACGGGCCGAACCCGTTTATCCTGCGCAGAAAAACGGCATTTTGCGGTGCGCGTGCGCGCGCCTATTTTTTGGGAAGAATTGTTGTTACAAACGTAAGATTAATACAACAATTTCTTGTGTTTTGCTTCAACCAAATCACTGATTTCTTTTATGATAAATAACATCATGATTAAATTTTCTTTTAGAGCAAAATGGAACCATTGCGCTGAACGCGACAAGACTGACCAAAGAGTCGGTGTTGATGAAATGGAAAGAGAATGCCCAGCCGAATGAAGGGCGAAGATATTCTATATCTGTTCGCAAAGTCGAGTTCAAACTCTCGACTGTCAAACTTCATAAATGGTAGAAGGCATCCATCGAGTACATGGAACCTAACAACACCCTTTTCAAGTCTCAACAAGAGACAGAATCCAGTGACGACCTCAGTCCGAAGGAAATGTATACTGACTATACTGCTGTTCTTCGACTGTCTGGGACGTCTTCATACGAGGTCAAGATCACTACTCTCTCAGCTGCTGGTAACCACGTCGGGTCTACATCTGCAATCTTTGATGCCTCGGACGCAATTGTGAATAGTGAGGCGGATTGGTTGATTTGGAGGCAAAACTAACTTTAAATTTGGATTTACTCAAAAAAAAAAAAATTATTCAGGAACAAAGCTAGGAATTTCGGGGACGATGAGCCAATTCAAGAACTATCTTTTTGATAGTTTTAAGGACGACTGCGCCCTTAAAGGAATGGTGATCGGTGTTGTTGTTGGAACTCTTGGAACACTGATGGTCATAGCCATGGGATATGTCCTCAGCAGGTAGCAACAAGCACTTTGAAGTAAAAGACAAATCCCAAACAATGGCGACGTTTTGTTTAACAAAAATCATAATTTATGCTGCAGATATTGCTGTAAGTGCAAGAAACGCGGTAACGATTTCGGTGAAAGATTGGATAGAAGTGGGCAGACATCAAGCGTTAAAATACCTGAACCTTATGTCATTATTGATATACTCGGCTTTGACGTAAGTATCGCATTTTTTCTTGCAACAGGAACTAAGTCAATGGCTTAAAAGTAATTCAAATATTTTTGACAGCCTGTTTCAACAGATACAACTGGAGTAACTCGAAGAGCAGAGGGCAAAGAGTGGGCGATTGTTGAAGTCGACAACGCACCTGAAGCAGAGGGCGAATCACGTGATGGAGAGACCGCGCAACCAGAAGCTCAAAAAACCCTGGGTACAAGGTTGCCAGAAGTTACTGTTGAGCCAGAAACCATCAATACTGAGGATGAACCTCGTAAACCTCGAACGATTTGAGGATTTAAGACAGATTCTGAGAGGGAGGAGAGATACTGAACTTGTATTTTAAGAAGAGGGTGGGAACATAACTGCAGGAATGAAGGACAAAGATTACAGTAACATATGTTAAGCAGGGATATGGGGTGGTTCAGTAATTGATATAAAATTCTTCTTCTGCAGTATTGATTGTAATTATGTAGGATATCGGTTAGAATTTTTTAAAACTCTATCTTTTGTTCAAATTTGATTCATTTACACTACCGTGATTTTAACTCTAATCTATATATTTATCTCAATTTAATGTTAACCCAATGCTTTTTTTGCTAATCTTCACCTTTATCTTTTCCTTCCATTTCTTAAAAGATAATTTACTCCTTGCTGCTTTTGGCCAGTCCTTGCACTCTCCTTCACGTGACTCAAGATCCCCAACCATCCTAGTCATATCCTTTATTGTCCTCCATGCTCGTGAATATTGTGGCAAGCAAGGCACGATGGACAGGTTATGACAATGAAAACACATGAAAACTCATGTCTGAGGAGAAAATGGTCAAAAGTGCTTTTCGCCAACACTTTGCTATTTTTCGTAATTAACGCTGATGATTGACGCATTTTTACCTACAAATTAATAAAATTGAGCTTCTTTATTTCAAAGCTTGCTTTAGTTTCTTGTGAACATTCGCGGAATTTGTGGGACGAGTGTGCCTTTTGTTTCGGTGATTTTTAGTTGGTTTACACAGAAGTGTTGACTACTTAGTATAGTAATAATATTAAAGGGTTGGATGTATATACATTTACATTGTGTGTGCGGATCCTGCTTTTGTATTAAACGAATTCGAAGGACACAGCCCGAATTCCGAGACGTTTTCGCTACACTGGCTGACTGGCCGTATTCAAGAACATCCATTTCGCTGACTCGTAAATTGTCTACTCAAATACATATAAAAACATAAATATTTGTCAATTCAACCTAATTGCTAAAGATTGCTGACAACCTTTGGTGCGCACTAATCACAAGCCATCTTTCTATGAATTAGCCAATCAGCTTTGTCGACCGCCTGGCAGTCGACTTGCATACGCTTTTGACCACTTATATACCACATTAGCTTCAAGAGGTGATGTAACCAGTCTACAATAGAGACCTATATTCACGGGATATTAGTGTTTATTTTCAAAAGTATATTTTAGATGTGTTAAAATTATGCAGACTGAAACGCCACAGAGTTAGAAGATAATAACGCAAATAAATTTGACATTAGACATTTGACAATTACGTTTGACTAACTTAATCATTTCCGTCGAGTAATTCCGCCTGGCGATTTGACACTTAACCGAAAAGAACTGAAACGCTAACTCCTGATTAAATTGCACAAATTCTCGTAGCCAATTTTTTTTCCAGACGCGTGGAAGAAATTTGAGATGCCTAGCTCAGGAATAGAATTGCGTTGCAAGTTATAAAGAAGTTGCATAGTGTAACACCGCCTTAAGGCAGTTTTGAATGATAGGCTTGGTGAAATTTTTCGTCCAATGGAAAAATTTCACCTAGTGGAAAATCTGAGCTTGAGTTTCTAACAATACATGCAAATTTGAGCACTTTTTGCCAAGCTCTAAAACGAAAGAGTAGCTGTTTAGAAATGTTGTTGTAACCAAATTTTGTTACCTTAACAATATATTTCTACAGAGGTTGTGACCGTGTTCTTCAAACTAACTATTAAAATCGTCCACAAACATTTCGACCTAGCCACATAGTAGTAAATAGTGATGTGTTTTAGATGCATGCACGGTGCTATGTGATAATACAACCAAACGATAGGAAGGCAATTATTATGTCAAATCAGCATATCACTGTACAAAGTTAGGGGCTGTTCACATGAGCCCAGTTATCAAGATTTCACGAAGCGTAAAATGACTTTGAGGTATTGAAAAAAGCCGTTTTAAAGAAAACAATCACATGCTATATTGTTAGGATGATAAAACCAAAATAGTGTTATTTACTCATTTCAATTTTCTTTACCCTTCGTTATATCTCGCCAACCGGGCTAATGTGAAGGTATGTTTTAGTCACTAGCGACAACATTAATAAAGATATTAAAACATACATTGAAAAATTTGAAGTATCAAATAGCCAATAAGGTGTCCAAAAGCTGTTCTTTTAAATAATGTTGTATCTATATCTATCTAAAAACCATGAAATGTGCAATCAATACTGTTACTTATGTTGTGTCAATAAATCGCAACTGCGGTTCTGCTATGATCTGCTAAATAGTGCAAAAGTTACTCTACAAGAATGAATCCAAAAGCCGGTGTGTTTTTGTTGTTTAGGTGACCGCAAATGGCCATATTACCACATGTCGTCATTCGTATGTCGTTATTACAACCAGCTGATGTACCAAAACCAATGCACGAGTTACAAGAATCACAGTCGTCTTGATTGTTTGTCATGAGACCAATGCGGACCCGAACATAACTTACAAAATATGATGATTTAAAGTTGTTTACTACACTAAATCCTTCTTTGTTACAATTTTCAAGTAAAGCTGAACCATTGACGAGAGATTTCCACGCTTCCTTTCCGGCACTTGTGTTTTTGAAACTTCCATCTCCGATCACGTTGTATAACGAACTCGCGGCGAAGTCCAGCGCTATCCATCTGGTCTCATTGTTGACTTTCATTCCGAGGCAAATCTTGCGGAACGGTGTGTTCCAGTAGGAAGCCAACTTTGTTTGTTTTTCCGTCAAGCCTTCGAGGCCATCTTCGACTTCGTAGGCTACCCTGTTGGTCCAATATGAAGAGCTATAGTTGAAATCGTTCTAAGATTGAAATAGTTGAAGTAGTTATTTTCTTTTAATAGTACTAATGTTTGCAGTACATGCATGCTTTATCCATACTTTTGGTGGATTGTTGCAACGGTTATTATCACCTTGTTCCCATCAATTTTCATCACCAGGGTCCAGCCTCCTCCTCCACACCCAGATATCGGATTCATGTGACAATAAACATCATATTCCTCGAGCGAGACATTATTTTTTATCTTGTAAACACCGTTGGTTTGTGAACTAGATAGTTAAGTGATAAAATATGAATATATAAGAGTAATAATTAATTGCATTGCAAGCTGCTAGGAAAATTGCATGGTATAACTCCGCCTTTAGGGCTCTTTCGTGCGCTGGACAAACGCAGTACTAAACTACCAAAATGGGTAAAACACTCCCATATTAGATCAAATAACACACGTACACGCCGATTTATCGCGAGCTACGTGAACAATATTCAATGGCTAAAGTAAGTTCAAATTTATCAAAACAGTTAGCTAGGTGACCTTTCATGCGTAAATGTATTGTAATTATAAGGCAGAAGATTATATGATGATGATTTGCAGTTGCGTGGCAACCCTGATCTGGCCAATGCACTCAAAAGAACTGGAAAGCAATCTTTTCATGCAACTTAACACGCGGTTTTTTAAACTTCAAAAAATAGTACTTCAACATGCCAGCACTAATGTTTTAGAGGGCGTAAAGTGCAATTTTTAAACTTATTTAGAATAAAAATTACATTCGTCAAAACTAGAGAGTAAAGTATTTTAAATTTATCTGATGTGAAACTTGCGACTAAAGCGCCCTTTTTTATATATATGATAAAAGTTGAACGAGGAGTGAAGCTTGAGGTAATTTGACTCAATTCAAAAACGTTTTTCAATTTACACCTTCTGAAAATTACGAAAAAAATATTCTAAAAATTTTACACAATAAACTACAATTAAAGTTTCTTTTTTATATTTTTAATGAGTACATAAATATATAGCATAGCCAGAAATGCAAGCCGGTAATTAAGCGGTGAGTTGTGTGAAGTCATCCATCCAGTTTTACGTTATTTGTTTAGATCAGTTTCGCTTGTATCATAGCAACAGCGAAAAGAAAATGGCTATTAAAAATCACTCTACGAAATTGATGTATTTCAGAGCGTTGGGTAACACATTTAAGCGTCGTTTTAAGCTTCTAAAACGCGATGGAGATAAAGCAAGAGTCTTTATGAACCAGCTCTGACGTGGATATTTGGCGATGCCTGCCAACAACAAGCAGAAATTGAAGCAGAAAGGTACCTAACGTGCTCGGAGTTTATACTTTCTTATACAATTTCAATCGTAAAATTGGGAACATACTTGGGCGTCTCGAGTTGTCCCCAAATTTTCAGTGGTTAAAGATCGATAAAATTTATGTTGTTTTGGACGTAAACAAACCAGAAGGCAAATTTTATTCAGTGCTTCTTCCAAAGGTGATTATAAATAACACTAGAAAGGTCATCGAGGAAAAATTGCGGAGCACGTTAATGGGGGGCAAAACCAAGTCCCGGATGTTCATTCATTCACGATGTCCGAGGCTAAAATATGTCATTTTAAACGAGTTACTTTTAATTCTAAATGTTTTTTTCTCTAAAATATCATTTCAGGATGTCTTAGGTAGTAAAACTAGTTCCTCTAGTGTTATTTATAATCTCTATGAATTCCCCACTCATCACTTGTACAGGACACCATATTGGTAAAACACGGGAGCCAGGTAAGTCACGTTAAAATTATGCACAAATTATTACGCACAAATTATGCATTCAACCTGATCAAGGAAAGATGAAGCAGGCCTCGAAAGCTAGAAATAATATTAATGTTTTTTTATGATGCGGTACTTCTGCTACCTGTTCCTTTCTAGTATTTCTTTACAAGACGCTGGCTTCCGGGGTTCTATAAATATAAAACATTAATATTTAAGAAACAGAAAACATTTTCCGAGTTTCTATACAGTTATAGAAACACGCGTGGGGGATTGAGAGAAAGAGAAATAATCAATTTTGAGTAATAATTTCTTTTATGATATTACTCAATAAAAAGATTTTGTACAAATATTATAATTCCATTAAATTCCAGTGTTTCTATACAGTTATGGAAACACGCTTCTTGACCAATCAGAACGTGCGTGCTATAAATGTTATAATTATTATAAAGGTATATAAGATAGAACAGTAGCGTAGAAAGAACGAGAAGATATGCAAATATTCATTTTACTTGATTTTAGCAGACTATGAAGCAACCGATTTAAAAAGAAATTGATCATGTGAACATAAAAGATACTTGCAAAGTTTAACAGCAAAAATATGGCGTCTAAATTAATAAATTAGACAGCTGCTTGCCTGTTTTTGATGAGCTTTTAAGTACGTAATTAGAAGGAAATTTGAACATATTTTAACTTATTGAGTGGTATTTTTATTGAGAGCAAAACAGAGTTGCACGAATGCGAATAGGTTCTATATCGTGCATGCACGCGTAATTTCGACAAGTAAGATCGATGAACTTTTCATGTGCCAAATCGAATAATGTAAATAGACTCCAACAAAGATTTTCAAAGGTTCGGCACATTAAAAGTTCGAGGCGGTCTGAAACGGGCCTTGCTCGAGTATACTAGACTTATCAAAGTGAAGCTTACTTGTTAATTGTTTTGTCGGAGAGCTTGACAAGGAAGAATCCACTGCCTATTAACAACAAAACAGATATTTAAATGCTGGGGCTGATACGTCGGTTAGCGTTCATCTCGATAATTGTAATTATCGTCATTTTTTTAAAGGCAATGTGCACACGGTAACGATTTCAAGCGATTTCACTTTTCTTTTCATGCCAAAACGATTTCAAACTAAACAATAAATGTTAATTTAACAGCCTCGTACCCAGGCGCTTTAATAGCAAAATCTATAACGTAGCATCCAGGTATTGTATAGAGTTCAGCTAAAAAAAACAAGCGCGCAAGGGTGATTGGGGAGGTTTGTTTTAGCGAGGTTAAAGAAAAAAATTTTTAAAAAATTCTATAGAGCCAAAATTATTAAAAATTAAAAAAACGATTTTTCGTTATAGAAATTTTTTGGCTCCATAGAGTTTTTTTAACGTGCTCAAATTTCCCATTTTTTTGTAAGAAAACTTTTTATAAAATAAAAAATTGAGGTAACCGAACTTGTTTTCGAGTAAATTGCGTGAATAGGTAAAATGATGGCCAAATTGAATCGCCATTGTTACCATAACAACGGTAATGACGTGATACTCAAAGACAATTTTCGACTGTTAGAATGTTGGTTAATATATCTGGAAAATTTCATCTCGTTTAGCAAGAAATTTCCCGCCAAAAATTTCAATCTAAATAATTAGTTTTCAATATTCTTAAAACTGTAGGGAGCCACCTTAATTTCGTATTCAAAAGCCCAACGACTATACGCGTTTGGTCAGATGGCGTAAGCAAAAGCAACGTGTTAGGGGTGAAAATGACAAATCTTGTACTCGTATTCGTACATCGTACGTCAATGCTAAAGCTCTCTACTATTCCGGCTTTCATCTACTAATCTTTCAAAAAGGCCAATAAATATAGATTGAAATTGGTCGCCTATATAAATATAAAAAGGTGTAGCGAATTAAATTTGTAGGTATAACTTTGGTATGTAACCTCGACAAATATTTATCATGGATGATACTCGCGTAGCTCGTTTCTTTTATATTTTATAAACCATTTGTTGATCTAAGCAAAGATAACGTACTGGATGAAAACTTACAAGATGGTTGAATTCAGGGTTTGTTTGCTCATCGACATCGGATGTTTCTTGAGTCTTCCTTTTGTTTAGCTCACACAGACCTTTACCAATTCCAGACGTTTTATAATTCACAGACGCACACGATTCATGTCCAACACAATGCAAACCGCATTCCAACTCCGAATCTGCTTGTTTTCGTTCGATGACATGATTCGCCAAGAGGCGTTTCTCATATCTGCGGAAAATGGCTTGCTGAAATTCGCTGCGTGCTTGCGTCATTTGCGAGACAAACATGAACGTCCAAATCATCTTTATCTGGTTCGTCATTGTATACAAACCTGACGAATATCCCTGTATCAAATTGTCACCTCTTATCACAGGCAACTAGTGAGGTTCTGTCAAAGTGAATTGCGTGCAGCGTATGCAACAGATGTAATTGTGTTGATGGAAACTTTGCGCTATGACGCAGCTTGCAAATAAAGTTAATCTGTTCCTACTTAGCTAACTGTATACATTGACGAATCAGAATCTTGTTTGTTTGCAAACTGCGTCATAAATATAAGGCTGGCTAAAAATTAGTAAAATGGAAACAAACGCATGCTTTTGCCACATTTTCGTTTATACGCATGCATATATATGGCTAAGTTTGAAATCCAGTGTTTGCACGAGAATTTATTCGATCACAGCGGTCAGAGTAAAATCGAATCATATAGGACTATTGTTATCGTGTTATGACTCTCACTCTTTTCTAGAGAGGTATCTACTAGCTAGGTCAAATGACCGTGTCTCAATAATTTTTGCACATGATTGCCCCTATGCAAATTTTCAAGCTAACTGTATGTCTGCTGTTATTGCTGAAGGAAATTATAATCTATATCCTTTTCGTTTTTTTTTAATTTTTTTGACTACAAACAAACAACTCTAGTAATTAGATTATGCTGTGAATGACGTCGGTCTGACGTCATTTGCCATAAAATTGCCATAAAAAAAGATTATTAACTAGCAACTAGCGTGTTGTAAGTAAACCTAACAAAAGTAAACAAAAGGGTCTCACGCATATTCCAGAAGATCACTGTTTAACATGGGTCATTATTAATTTTGTTACATTTACAACGCATACTTCACAACACACTTGTGTTTCACAACAAATATTAGGGTAATTTAACACGAGGACATGAACGTCAAAGACGACGTGGAAATGGCGAATAAATGGCCTGATGCGTCCAAAAAATATTATGGACATGCCACGCCATTTAGTTGCCATTTTCACGTCGTCTTTGACGTTCACGTCCTCATGCTAAATCTCCCTATTGGGTAACTAAAGCGGCAATGCGATATTGCAAAGTAAACACAGGTTTGTATACAAAGTAAACTAAAAAGAAAATGTAGTCATACAGGCAAGTTCCAAAGGAAATGTCTATAATATATCGTCAGTTCCACATTACCGTTTGACGTAAATGATTCTTTCGACTAATGGAATTGGAACAAGGGACGTCCAAGTATATTATCTGTTCGCTAACCTTAATTGTTAGACAGTTGAGCATATGTAGGGAAGACACGAATTAATTTGGTGCATCCACACTTCGAACAGCAGCTGGAATTAGCCCTGACGTCACGTGGACCATCCGAAGAGCACTTAGACAGCATGGCTACCTATATTTACAATCGCGCAAAAAAGGACTTACTACAAGGAAAGACACGAAGAAATCGCTTCGTCTGTAAGGTAAGAAGCTGCTACCGGAAAACGTCAGGGAAAATAGAATCCTTCTATTTTGATGGAACTTCGTTTGTGCACAAAATGCAGGCACAAGCTACAAAATCAATAAATAGCTTGGAGAAAGCGCGGAGAGGGGCTTACCTAAATTTCACAAGCAAAGGAAAGAATGCTGAAGTCGAGGGTAAACAGCTCATTTCTTTGCTTCTGTTGCTTATGGGAAAGGTGTTACTTCTTGCGACCAAAATTTCAATCGTTTGACTGAAGAGACATTTGCTTAGCAACGCCTTCATTTACCTCAAATATTTGAAAGTGGTGGGAATCCGACCGCCAAACGTTTTGTGCAGGATGATGACCCAAAGTGGGTGTTTTAAAGTTTTTTATACCACTACGAAGTCCGGATTTGAACCCAATTGAAAATTCGTTCTACTTGTGTTCTAAAAAACTAGAGAAAGATTCTCACGACAAGAAAATAACACGTGAAAGCTTTGTCCAGACAGAGTAAGGAAGACAATGCTAAATTTTCCTACAGATATTATAGACAACATTAGTCAATGTACAAACGTCTTACCTTGATTGTCAAGAAACGGGGAGAAAGATTGAAGTACTGAGTGATTTCACCATAACATTTTTTTTAAAAGTCAACAAAATATTTTTTTCTTCTCTTACAGACACCATATACTATATTTAGCACATTTTGTAAGTTGTAAAGAGGGTACTGCAAATAAATATGTCCGTCTCAGATGGTTGACGCTGATATTCCTGCATGTTACCACATGCTACCATCATGTTTCCATTTTTCCTTTATTAATTTCAATATACATGTTACCACATTTTACCATCGATTTTGTATATAAAATATTATAATTTTTGTTAAAATGGAAACATGACAGTAACATGTAGTAACATGTATGAAATGTATGATAAATCTTTTTTAGAATTACTCTTCTCATGTTTTCGATTCCACACACCTTAAAATTGCGTTCAAACAGTTTTCCGAAAAGAACTAGTTTGGAAAACAGTGCGGACAGGGAGGTATATTCTCATGCAGGTATGCGCTGATTGAAGTGAAACACTTTCTACCGAGAAGCCATCATATCATTCTCGAGTGTATCCTCTGCGTTGTATGGACCTCGGTACGTAATGATCGCTTTAGCAGTTGCGAATACCACAGGCACATATCGCAGTCAATAAACACGTCCCTGGCGAAATGATTCTTTGGAGGAAGATTTACTCGGTCTCCTTCAAGTAGGAACAAAAAAACTCTTCTATTCAATCAGTTCTCGTGATCATCTGAAATCATTTAAAAAAATAGCGTCAGCTTTATCAGCTCCCACCCATGCACACTTGTTGGATGCTGGGTTATAGTAAACGTATCAAACAGCAGCTGCAAAGGCCTTAATAATCCACAGTTTGTTGTGGGCCTACGGACTATGTGTTTCTAAATTTCCCTCTTTCATATTCTAATAACCACTTAATTGCCGTTGCATATACGACAGGATGAATTTTGTTGTTGATCAGAACCTCGTTTGCCCAATACTAGTCATGTAGAGACCTTCGCATCCTCCTCTGAAGTTTGCTTCTGAAAATTCGCCAATAATTTTGGACGCCTCTTTCATTTTCCATGTCTGTTCCAACAGCTCATCGAGAGATCTTAATGAACGAGATAGAACAAACTATGCTGGATCTTTTCTTCGTTCCTCCTTCTGTTCGTTTGCAAAATCCAGGAGGCAAGAGTGATGTTTTATCTCTAATTTTATGCTTCGTAATCAATTCGGAGACATCAATATTTTTCAGGTTCTTGATTTTCGCTACACTGTGATATTTCCATGGCCATAAATGCAGGCTGGTAAGCGGTGAGGTGTGTGGGCCACTGAGTGGTATGGGCTAATGCGGTTCAGTTTTAAGTTTATTACATAGATCAGCGTCGCTTGTATCATAGCAACAGCTAATTAACAGTTATTCTGCGAACTCGAGTCCTTAGTTATTCGACTAGCTACTAGTCATGAACGACGAGAGTAAGCAGAGTAACCAGGGGCGCCGGAATATCGATAATGGGTATGCAAATCGTTTTAACAAGATCCACAACCCTTCAGTTCCATCAGCAATGGTGCCTTGAGGACATGTAAATCTTTCATGTATTTGAAGTGCTTCTGCTAACAGCGGTATGTCTTGCTTTTCGGTACGAAATTCTGCCTTGCATTCTTCTTTGGTCATCTCATTCTCATTCACATCAAATAGGGCGTATTTCCAATAGGGAAATGGAGGATTTCTTGTTCGATTTAATTCGTGAAGTAAGACGAATTCTTCGTCATCAAGCAAGTCATCGAAGTAAGCATCGACGAGTAGTTCCTGTACGTTTGCAAGAGCAGCCATATTTACTGTAAAGCCAGCGTTTTAAATCTTAAGCTAAATTTCCCGCGTTGCGAACTGCGTCCTCTCCCCAGGCCTTTTCGCGGTTGCAACGTTTTGTATGCGGCCGCGTCTCAAATCTTAAGTTCTCTAATAATGGAACGCACAAGCGCAACAGCACCAACGCAACAAGAGGGACAACTAAGCAATATTCGTTGCGTAGACTTTTCACGAAAAAATCAACATCTGCGGTATTTGCATGGATTCCAAAAACGGGAAAAGAAACGTTTTATTTTTCAGCCGTTGTAATAATTTGCCATACAGTTTACCGTATTGGGCCACACAGCTTGTCTAGCTTTTCGAAATATATATCAGTTATGCTGCAGTGGTCATTATTTACCAAGCGGCTTAAATAATCTGCTTGTATTATCTCCTTTGCATATCCATGCACTGTACGTCAATGCTGACGTTGTAAGCCAAACACAAATGAAATATTTGGAACGCAAGTTCGTGCAAATCTGACCTCATGCTTCTTGTTTTGAGAATACTTTCGACTGCTTTATTGTCAGTTTAACATTTTATATGCGGAGATGATTTAAAAATAATAAAATATGATTTTAATGAAAATTCGATCAAAGAAAGCTCTCGCTCTACTGCACTCTTAGCACGCACTGAGGACCACATTTTATGACAAGTTCCGCCTTCATCAAGTTTAATGACCGCGGCGCTTCCTATATCACTGGCATCGAAGTATGCGAACTGTTTTCGTGGTCGAGTTGGAAAACCATTGTGTGTTTTTAGTTTGTCAAGAATTTGCTTCCTAAACGATAATTCGTATTACTTTTGGTATATTCATCTAAATTCAACTATTTGCGCTGGCGACGGGCATCTACAATTCCTCGTTATTTTGCGAGCTTGTTGGTATAACTACGGCGTAGGTTGATATTAGTTGACTTAAGCAAGTGACGTTTTTGACAACTCGTAGGTTGGCCGGATGTAAAGTTTTTGTTTTTCACCGATCACAAGGTTGAGGTTACTCATGCCGTCTGTGTTTTCAAAAATGTCACTTGCTTAACGCTAACTCCCTGGCAGATATACAGAAATTTGTCATTTCAATAGCACAGATTATAGCTACTCTTGGTTGCAAATAATAACAACAAATTGACGATAGTAATTAGCCTTTCTCACGATGACGAATATGCCGCCATTTTTGGGGTACTTTTTCTCAAAACCGCAAGCGTGAGACCTCATAACGGCCACAGTCTTTAATTTTAGGCTGGAATTATTCCTCCAATGGTCTGTTGATTCTAAAAAAATTGCTTTTAATTTTGTTATAACTTTTAAA